CAGATGCTGAGGCTGCTGCCGTGACAGACGGCCAGGGTTCTTGCTCTCACAAAACTTGTGGTCTAGACCTGCAGGGTGTGTTTGTAAACCTCCTTGTGCTGCCCTTTCTGCCCATCGGACTGTGGGCACATCTCTAACCCTGCTCACTAAAAGACAGTAAGACACCCCTAAAGCCCATCTGATAAATACGTGGGCATCCCACCTCTTCCCCATGCCTCCCTCTAAAAACTATGGGGGGGCAGCATGGACACAAATTCACAAATACATAAAGACTTTATGATGCAGGTAGTTAGGTAGCAGTGGCCGGGAACGGAGGGTGGAAGAAGAGGAGAGGGTAAGTGCTACTTACTTTTCTCTTTGCTATTGCCCAAAGTTAAAGGGAAAAAGAGTTATTTAGCTCACAGCTTGTAGAGGGTTCAGTCCATAATCAGCTGGCTCCTAGACAGGGTGGTGGGCAGAGGGCACCACAGAGGAGGAACAGCTAGCAACAAGCAGGCAGGCAAGATCAAAAGCAAGCAAGGGCCCTTCGCAGCTCCTTTCTGGCCCCTTTATACTCTATTTAGGCTACCAAGGATTAGGACAGCGCTAAACCAATCAGTGGACTGATTGAGTAACCACACACCCTTAACCCCCAGCACTGTACTATGAATCAATCACATACTACATCTACCCACCTCCGAAAAAGCTCCGCTTGTGACCTCATGAGGCTTGGGGTGGGGGGGACAGGTAGACACAAGCTGTGACAAGGGAGGAGAGTGAGACGGTGTAAACATGACCTTTCTTGGGATGGAGAACAGCACGTGTGAAGGTCCCAAAGTGAGAGGGAGAGGTTAGTGAACTTAATAATCATGGGAAGAATAGCTAGTATCAAGAAATCAAGTCATAATACATGCTGGCAAAGAGTGCAGGTTGGGGGCTTCTACACTGCTGGTGGGATGTAAACTGGTACAACCACTATGGAAATCAGTATTCCTGCGAAACTAAAAATAGAAACTGTTCAATCCAGTTTTCCTTCCAGTACGTTCCCAAGAGAGTTAATATTATCCTATTATAGTAATACACGCACGCCTACATTCGTAGCATCACACCCCACAGCAGCCAAATCTTGGAAGTGATGGCCTGTATGTCTCTCCACAAATGAATGAAGACTATGTGGGGTGTATACCACTGGAGTACCACTCTGCCCTAAAAAGATTAATGAGTCACTGGGAGGAAAATAGATGCACCTTGAATCCATAATTCTAAGAAAACAAATCAGATATCAGTTTAAAAAGCACATGGTTTCTCTCATATGAGAAAACCAAAGTATAATGAAGAGTAAAATAGGGCCGGAATACAGCTGAAGGGCATAAGTGCCTGACTGGCACGCACAAGGTCCTGAGTTCAATCCTCAGTACTGCACACACACACACACACACACACACACACACACACACAAATAGACTGACATTAGGACACAGAGAGATAGATTTGCAAAGAGAAAGGAACCAAGGGATGTTGGAAGGGAAGGGGACATAAGAAGGATTAAGGTGTCTTGTGTAGGGCCAGCCTGATAGCTCAGCAGATTAAACGCCTGCTCAGGCAGAGCGCAGCAGCGGGGGTTGGATCGGTTGGATCCCCAGCGTGCCATGTGGGCCCCGCCCACAGGGCGCACTGAGACAACAATTGTGACTGGGCACGACTGTAATCCCAATACTTGGGAGACTGAAAACAGGAGAATCACTACGAGTCCGATCTACGTAGTGAGACTCCATAGACCCTGTCCTAAATACAGAAAAGAAAAAAATAAAATAAAATAAAATGTCTCGGCCTAGGGATATAGCTCAGTAGAATAAGCACTTGCCAAGCAAAAGGGGCTGAGTTCAATCCCTGGTTCCACCAAAAAAAAAAAAAAAAAAAAAAAAGGTCTCGTGTTCATGTACCTACTACCCATTAGGTGCTGCAAACATATATTAATAGAAAAGAAAAACAACCCTGGGGTGCTGAGGCCCTCCCTCCATCTCTATTCCCCCTAAATGAAACACAAAAGGAACACAAGTGGGGCTGGAGAGGGGAGGCTGAGGACAGGCAGGGGCCAGGCTGGGTGGTCCTGAGGGTCACAAACTCAGTTGTATTATTCTCTGTTGGAAGCCACCAAAACACTTTAAGAAGCAACTCATGTGGGGATAATGAGAAATAGTTTACACTATGGGGCCCTTGGTTAGATTCCAAGGCCCCACTTGGATATGCAGGATGTTCTCACACGGCCCTGGGAGACAAACACTATTTATATCCCCATGTACAGACAAAGAAACTGGAGCTTAGATAGCTAGTATAAAGTCATACAGCTAATAAAATTCTGAAATGGGAAGCTGTATTGATGGTTTTATAAGATCAGCCAGGCCATCGTGCAAAAGAGTTGATTGTGGAAGGGAAGAATACAAGCAAGGAGACCTGAAATAATCCAGGCAGGGTCCGGCAAGATAGCTCAGCAGTCTAAAGCACCTGCTTAGGCAGGCCTAGGCAAGTGCAGGGACCACAGTTCAATCCCTGGCACCCCATGCTGCGCCAGCCCCACCCCTTGGGTGGATTGAGCCTGACACACACACACACACACACACACACACACACACACACACACACACACACAGAATCCAGGTAGAAAGTAATGATCATTAGAGTGGAGCCAGGACCCAAAAGAGTCAGGGGACTGCAGGCCTCAGATGCAGAACTTAATGGGCTTGCTCCCAAACCCTCAGCAATGAAGAAAATATTTCAATACAGTATTCTGAAAATCAAGAAAGAAAAATTCCATGATGAACAAAATAGCAAAGTTTTAGTTAAAAACAGGATGGTAAGGACAGGGTATAGCTCAGTGGCACAGCACCTACCTGGTAAGCACAAGGTCCTGAGTTCAATTCTTGGTACCAAAGACCAAAACAAAACAAACAGGATGGGGGTCCTAATTTTATTCTTTGTGTTAGGTTCAGTATAGCAGGGCAGGGTAATAGCTGGGACTAGGGTGGAGGCAGGTGGGATATTTGTGTGTGTGTGTGTGTGTGATGGGGTGGGGGCTGCTGGGGGATTCATGGTGGGGCTGAGCACCTGTACTCTTGCTGTTCAGTACTATCATACTTCTCGCCAGCATCTGTGTTCCTGGTACTGAGCTGGGTTTTTGTCCAGGTTCTTCATGTCCTAAACAATGACTGGCATAAGACACTCAGAGGAGTAGAAAGATCAATGAGTCATTTGAAAGAGAAAAAGACAAAATGTGGGCTGGTGAGATGGCTCAGTGGTCTAAAGCACCTACTTAGAACAAGCTTAGCAAAGCACAGGGACCGCTGTTCAATCCCCCAGCACCACATGCCAGCCAGCCACCCCCCCTGCCCCCTGGTGGGCTGAGCTGGCCACACACACACACACACACACACACACACACAAATAAAATAAAAAAAAAAAAAGACAAAATGCACTACATACAATAGCAGGGGAGGCTCAAATCTGCATAGGCAATTGTAATAGGACTGCAGTAGGATTGTGGTGGACCCAGAGCTGCAGGAGATCACTGGGGACTTACTGTGCAGAAGCTAAGTAACCTGGTTACCTTTCCCCACTGTTGTTAGATTCAGGCATCTTAGTCGGTCTAATGTTTAACTCAAAAGGTGCCCTATGGGGGCTGGAGAGATGGCTCAGTGGTCTAAAGCACCTACTTGGAACAAGTTTGGCAAAGCACAGGGACTGCGGTTCGATCCCCCAGCACCACATGCCAGCCAGCCCCGCCCCCTGGTGGGCTGAGCTGGCCACACACACACACACTAAATGTTAAAATAAAAAAAAAAAAAAAATTAAAAAAAAACAAAAAAACAAAAAAACAAAAGGTGCCCTAGTCCCAGAAAGTGAACTCCAAAGTGGGAGACCACCCCCCCTTCGGCTGTTTTCTTAACTTCAGCCTCAGATTTATGCCAGAAAGTGGGCTCCAAGGGGGGGAGGTCATCCTCCTTTCTTTTTTTCCAGCCTTTTCTGTTATCTCCTTCCTTTCTTTTTCAAAGGACCCAGAGCCCATTCTGGCTGAACAGGTTTCATTTGTTTAAACAGTTGCTTTTTGCATCAGAGGGTGCCATTTATTTCCCCACAGTTCTGAGAAGGGTTTTTGGGTGTAAGTTCATGGAACGCAGCCAGGGAAAGAGCGCGAAGCTGCAGACTAGAGAAGAGATATTTGCCACCCGCCTTCCCAATCCAGAGAGCTGCAGAATGGATCGCTAATCGCTAGGCAATATCTTAAAATAAAATTAAAACAATAACAACAACATAGAGGGCGATGGAGACAGCTCGGTGGTCTAAGCACCTGCCTGGCAAGCGCCAGGCCTGGGGCTCCTCCCTGGTACCAGCTGCTGTGCGGGTCAAGGAACCCCGGCAGGGTGGCGCACGCCGGTAATCCCGGAGCAGGGGAGGCTGAGACAGGAGGATCACTACGAGTCCGAGCTGGAGCTGCATAGTGAGACCCTGTACCAGACAAATAAATAAAAGAGTAAGCAAACACCAACAAAGAAATCCCAGGAAAACTGGCCTTCTCTGGCTTGGAAAATGCAAGTTCCTGTCATTGTAGCTTCAAGAAACTCAGCAACACAGGAGAATTGGATTTGGTCACCTGAGAAACTGCTCAAAAGGAGTTACCCAGGGGTCCTGCCCTCTCCTTGTCCTGAGGGTCGCACAGCCCGGACCTGGCCAGCAGGTTGACTGTGGCCTCGTGTGGGGGAGGGGACCAGTCGGGTCGCTGGGGCGGGACCGCGACCTTGAGAAACCGGCTGCGAGGGGCGTGGAAAAGCCGGGAGGGGCCTGCCCGGGAGGCGGGGCTAGACTATGGGCGTGGCCAAACGAGGCGGGGCGGGGCGGGGCGGCGCGCGGGTCGGGAAGATGGCGCTGCGTCTGCTGCGGAGGGCGGCGCGCGGAGCGGCGGTGGCGTGGCCGACGCTGTGAGTGCAGGTCCCCAGTCCCCGCCGCTGGCCGGGCTCCCTGAGGGCCGGCTCCTTTCCGGAGCCCTCGCGGGAAGCTCCGCGGGGCACAGCGTGAGCCTCCCGGGCGCGGGCTCGACCTCGGTCAAGGTCGGCTTCTGCGGCGCCCACTCCCCGGGCCGGCCGAACGCGGAGCTGGGAAATGGGCGCAGGCGGGCCGGGCGCGGAGCCGGGCGCGGAGCGCTGCGCTGCACGGCGGTTCCGGGACGTGTGGTCCCGGGATCCTCTGGCACGCCTGGGAATTACCAATGTCCAGAGAGCTGTGCCTATACAGTACCTTCCTTTTTGTGATACTGGGAATTCAAACATTTAACACAACTTACTTATATATAGCTTTTGATACTGTAGTTGGAACCCAGGCTGCGGTTAAGTTGCATACCCAACCTTGATAGTTTTTACATTTTGAGAGATCTCACTAAATTTCCCAAGCTGGACTTGAACTTTCAATCTTCCTGCCTCTGCCTAACAAGTAGCTGGAGTTACAGGCATGTGTCCCCATTCCTGGCCAACACAAATGACATGTTTTTTTTTTTAATTTTTATTTATTTACTTATGTATGTATGTGTGTGTGTGTATGTGTGGCCAGCTCAGCCCACCAGGGGGCAGGGCTGGCTGGCATGTGGTGCTGGGGGATTGAACCCCGGTCCCTGTGCTTTGCTAAGCTTGTTCTAAGTAGGTGCTTTAGACCACTGAGCCATCTCACCAGCCCCCAAATGACATGTTTTAATGAAAACTACTTTAAATTTATTTTTCCTTTGCTTCGTGCATGCTGGGCAGGTGTTGTACCATTTGCTGCAGAACACAGTGCTACATCCCCAGCCTTTAAAGAGATCCAGAGAAGAGTAACGGTTTTATATATTTGATTTCTTTTTTAAGGTTTTATCTTTTTGAAACTTTTTGACTTACTAAGGGACAACCACAGTCTCATATCAGCTAATTTGGAGGAAATATTTGAAAGAAAATCTGGACTCTGTCGGATACAAAAACTGAATGAACAAGGAGGGCCAAAGCAGACCTGCGAAGGTCTGGGGCTTCCCCTGGTGTCCCTGGGCCATACTTCGAGAACCGCTGGTCTAGCCCTTGCCTCTGCTTACCGCACATACAGACACAATCTATTTTTTCCCCCTTGAACACCATGGAAAGGAGCTGGTGCTAGTTTTACAAGGAGAAAAGACGAGGAACCAGTCCCGCAAAATCCTGTAACCTGTGCCAGAGTTCGGTTCTGAGCCTAAAGTTATGGTTCCTGGTCCTTAACGTTTTATGTCTTCTTGCCCTGTCCATGGTTCACACACTTCCTAAGGGGTCCCCACTTTTGCATTCTCCATGCCTGGCACAGGGCCCGTGCATGTGTGTGTGTACATCTATAACTATTTCTACACAGAGCCATCTGTGTCATATTGAGCTATGTGGGTTCTTATTGATGTCTCCAAAGCTCATCCCTCACCGCATGGGTGATGGATAAAGACCATTCATTGTAAGCTTCTTTCCCGTGCTGGTGTACACATTGCCACCCCAACAGTGAGAAACCCGCTCCCTCATCCCTCATCCCTTTGCTCAGTGTTTCAGTTCCAGCATGCAAGTGTAGCAGTGTCAGAATTACTGAGCCCTGCTCCATGGGAGAAGAGCTTAGCTGCCAGAGGACAGTGCTCACGTGCAGTGGCTTCCCCTGTGGCCTAAAAGGGTCCACTCATTTCCAGAGTTACTTAGCACCATTTTCTTTTTCTTCTCTTCTTCTTCTTCTTCTTCTTCTTCTTCTTCTTCTTCTTCTTCTTCTTCTTCTTCTTCTTCTTC